AAATTTTATCATTTTCTAGTCAGAGTTTGACCATTTGCTTGAAACTATTTAATATCTCATTTGAGAATGTTGCAATTATAATGAAACATTGTTAATATATCAATAAGGCATGTATGAAGATTTCCTGAAAGTTTGGGTCTTATCAAACAGAATTTGGTAGAGATATAAGATATTTTGTCCCTAAAAGTACACAATTTCTCTTCAAAATTTATTAATCAGTCGATAGTTAATCAGTCATTTAAAAAACAGTAAGGGCCTATGGTGTATAAAACCTGAATAAAAACTTCACTGATGATGTTAGCAAATATTTCTTGCATAAGTTTCAATAAAAAGTGCATGCATCTATTTTTCTGATTTTTCTCTTGGTATGGACAAACTCCGACTAGAAAATGATAAAATTTGCTGACTCAGCGCTTTTGAGCATGCTTTGCAAGTGTTCGCAAACTTTTTTTTACATGTCTTGGGGTCCCCTACAAGAATCTAATATCAAATTGAATCTAGGTGTTTTGGACACAAATGGCATTGGTCGTAGTACTAAGTACACTGTGCGTAGCGTCATACATAGCGTATATCACTGGCCAGTATCAAGCGAAGCTTACGGCCGTCACCTTCGCATTCAAGATGGCGGACTGGAGGTGTCGATTTCGATTTATAGTTGACCGTTTACGTAATGCTTTGATATTTGAAGTAAACCAGGCTTTTATGGCTTGGAAACTCTGGAGTATGATCAATTGTTCATATATTGTGCGTAGACGCCACAGTTCAACGATATCTTCCACCGCTTAGGGAAGGTTGCATGGATTTTGGTATCATGACCATTACCGTATCATACATACATTTTACAAAAATCGTATTCACCTCCCAATGAATACCTCTTGCGAGAATCGTATTCACCTCCCAGAAATATTTGCCAAACAACACTTTCTATTACGGATTCAGATCGGTCGGTATAGCGACCAATAGTGTTCTCACCTTTTTGGTTTTTTCAAAGAATATCTCCAAACGAAGGTGTGTAGTGTGAAGTCATGTATAAGCCTATTAAACACAGGCCCTATGAATAAAATCAATATTCAATCCCTCCAAATAAATGCCATCTATTTATTCGGGAAATACTTTGAGGCACCGATACCATTATTGTTATATGAATTACTATGGCATTATTTTTGCTTCTTTATTCATTAAATTCAAATATATTCGATATATGAAACATTTATATTCGCTAAATCATTTTTCCATTCGGTAAAAACGTTTATATGTTTGTTACAGCAAATTAAGTTTTCAAAATAGCCAATCACTTAATACTATGTGCATTAAATTACATATTTCATTCGTTAAATTATATTTTTGCGTAAATTGTTATGGTATTCCTTAAGAGTAACACATTATATGCACAATATTGAATTTCTATTTGAACCCTACCGAAATAAGTTTGCCTATATTTACCAAATGGTTTATTTTTCTATGACATAGTTAATGCATTTTACCGAAAGCTAATTTGCTATTTACCGAATGCAATAAAGTAATATTCGATAACTTGCGTTGTTGTTCGATATTTTGTCACATGACTTCGAGATTTGCAAAATGGTCGCGCAGCTATTCTACATCGTACAAATATATCACGTGACTGAAAGTCTCGCAAATTATCGAAAAATAACGAAATTTATCGAATGTGGCATTCGGTATTTACCGAATATAAATAATTAAAATACCGAATGTACAAATAATTAATTGAATTATACGTGCGTTAAGGAAAACAAATTGATTCGCTGCATCACACAAATACATGTATAAATATCAAATGTGAATGTCAATACAAAGAACAAGTGAAACTATTTAGCGAATGTAAATTGTTTAGATTATTACATTTGATAAAATAAAAAAAACATTCGATAGATTGGGTAAAGGTTTGGTAAATTGTTTGTTTTATTTGGTATTTATGGAATATTAATGTACCGAATAAAGAAGCAGTTTAAACACCATAAATTACTGAATGAATAATAAAATTACCTGTCATACAATTTTGAGAATAACTTATATGTACCGATTTGCTATATGCACTTTAAATTAGAGTACAGCTTGAAATTTACCTCATTTTTTAAATCAAGGCCATGTTTTTGCTTATTTCGTCACGACTGGTAAATATTGATTCATTTACATGACATTTGCCTGGCCTTGATTAAACACTTAGCTTTGATTGCCCGTAGAATAGGTGGACATTCAACATAGTATCACTCTATGTGCAGGTTTTTTAAAACGGTTAAAGGAACAAAATGGCACACGTGGTCATCGTTTGTAAATATTAAAACTATAGTATTTGTTTCATAAATAAAAACATACATAAATTCCTCATGATACCTTTCTATTTGCTTTTACTTTTCGATATAATCTAGACTCCCATTTTGGTTACACTTTTTTGCAAAAATATTTCTGTTGTACTCGCAATTTTCGATGTAGTTACTAATTCTTGCTAGTAGCACATTGTGTGAACATTGGTACCATAATAGCGAGAAAAAAAATAAATAAAGAGATACTAATTTTAATCCCTCGTATAATAAAGTAATACAACTTAAGTTCAACATGCCCATAGATGAAGTCATTGAACCCGTCAGCGATTTTTGCTGGGAGGTTTAAATTCCAAAATCAACATTAAAATGAATTTGTACAATCAAACCAAAAAGAGACTGTTTAAGTCAATAAATTAACACCTTTACAAGAGTCTGAATCTGGCAATTCGAATACATACAAATAAACATTATTTGAATACGGCGATCTCCTTCCAATGTAAAGATATGAAGAATATACAATGCTTCTTTAAGCGCGAGTTCAACCTCAGTATAGGTCAAATTGTAACATCATTTTTAGACAAACATTAACATTAAAAGAGACGTATAGCTTATTCTTACAAAATCTAAAATTCCAACAAACTCAGCTGTTCCTAAGCAAGAGTCCTCTTAAGTACATTTTACAGTGCATTGAAAAAGTAACTTAGACATTAAAATGTCTGTGCCAAATCTTCAAAACAAATTTAAAAATATACAAATCAAATCAATAATCAAATATAGATGTCGTTGTAGTCATACTGTCAAGCTTTACTTTTTCAAAAGGAGTGGTAGCGATATGGTGAACAAAATTGAAAACATTTTTCTGTTAATTAAACCAGCCCTAAAATTCTGAAAATACACAACATCAATGTAATGGTCATCTTTTGAATGGTATCAATTTAATTTGAAAATATTGATCTCCTTTTTATATATTGTTTTTGGAAACACATCACAAAACTGTCTTTTGTTCTTAGAACACCATGTTTGGAATGAAATGAAACGTCTATCCGAACCTCGTTGGAAGAAAGTGACATATACACGCCGTATTTGGGTTTCTCAATATTGTACTTATCCCACCGAATGAAGTTCGAGGGGGGTATAGGAAAGCCGTCAGTTCGTCCATCCGTCCGTCCGCCCGTCCGTCTGTTCGTTCGTCTGTCCGGGCGCCTTAAGCGTCGGACAGCTGGTCATTATCTGGTTACTTTTGATACTGACCAGTTGATTTTTTCACTAGGTATAGGAAAATAACATTGCAACTGGTCAGTAATGCCTTTTTGACCAGCAGCTCTGGAATCCTTAGGGCATACACTGGATAGCTCGAACATCGGCTGATGGATTTATAGGCTTATGTCTTATGAGTCATTGCACAGAATTGGTCGAATAGCCGATAGATGTCATTCATTGATTAAACATGACGTCATATTTGAGATCTTAAGATAAATCTGACGTCATGACGTCAGTGCCATAGAAACTGAGATTGTCTTATTTTATTTTGACGTCATTCCAATGTAATGAACCAGTTATATCACCAAAAGTTATCATATTTTGTTTGAAATTGGCCGAAAAGTTAAAGGTATGAGGATTCTAATCTCAACGGAATCAAACAGATCTACCTTCAAAGTTACAGAAACCTGAGATGACTAAGATACCATATGATTTTAAGTACCTCTACCAGACCGTTGAATATCCTCATTTCACCATTTTGACGCCATTTCTAATGGATTTCAATGGAGTCATGCATGAATTCCTCATGATTTTTTCAAAACAAATTGGCCGAAAAGTGTGCATGTGTACATTGCTTAAAACATGTTAAATCAGTAAAGGTTGATGTCTAGTTATAGAAACCTGAGATGACTAAGCTGGCAAATCAATATCATTCGCACAGTAAGCGTTCGAAAAATGTCTCCATTATAAATCCCATAGGCTTTGGAAAACCGGAAGTAATGGTTCTGCGCATGCGCAGTGAAATATTGGACAAATTTTGTGCAATGGTGAAGGACCTCTATTCGAGAAGTAATTTTCAATACGGCAGCTCAACTCAAAATGGCCACCTTTTTGGTAAAAATGTAATCTTTGATAACTCAAATTCTAGCTAGTAGACGGATTTGGTTCAAATCTTATATGCTGATGCTAAAGGACAAAAGAGCTAGCTTTGCCCACGATGAGATTTCTTAAGATAAGATCACCACTGAATTTCAAAATGGCCACCCTTTTTAATGGAATAACGTTATATTCGTGGTTGGTCCTATGGTGTAGTGGTTAAGAAGCCTGTCTGTAAATGCCAAGATGGAAAATTCAACCCCTACAAAAAGAATAAGATGTGGAAATTCAATTTTTGTAAAAATTGAATCTTAGCGACCTGAGGCAAATCGCCTAACAGCTATAGTAACCGAGGAAGATGATGATTTGATAACTTAAATACCAGTGAACTGATTTGGTTATTTTATATGCTGATGCCTTGGGACACATGTGTTCTGCTAAAGAGGGGGTTGTTTCAGTACATATTACTTTGATATCGTTTTGTTATTGTATGGTTTTAATTTCCGTAAAAGTACTACTGAATTCTCGGACCTGTGTTTACCGGTGTTAGGGGAGAACAATAAACACAAGGACGTTACGATCGATTCAGTGAAAGTAAGACATTTGTGTATTGTTCTGCGATTTCATTTAATCCATTTACTAGTTTTAAGCCAACTACTTGCGTAAATTTAGAAAAGGTCAGTTCAAACCACATATTTTTGATTACGAGATCACTAACAATTTTTAGTTTTTGATCAATTAAAAACGGATTCAACCATTGTTTGGATAAAGTTATTACAAGCTTGGTAAGGTGAGTAGCAGTACTGCAGATCTGACTAGATAATAAACCAATCTGAGTTTGTTGCCAATTACTTGATGAACAGCTAACTTGGTTCAAACTTTAGAACAATAAAGAAATGAGTAACACTTACAATAAGCGATACAATAATAATGATGCTTCTCCTAAATTACATAGTTTTGCTAGTATATCCTTAAGATTAAAATAACTAAAATTGAAGTTTGTGAAATAGATATACGATCATAATATGCTGTGAGGCATCACCACAAAACCACATTACATTTATACAGGCATATGAAGTTATATCATTTATGTTACAGGGATACAAAGATGGGATCAAGTGTAAGCGTTGGCCCTAAGGACAGAAGCCGGGTTCGTTCAGTTACCACAAATGCACCCTCACAGAAAGGACGACTTGGCACAAATCTCGGTAAGCAGACACCGACAACACAAGTAACCGTTGTTCAAGCGGCTCCTGATCAACAACAGCAACAACAATACTACCAGCCTCCTCCCCAACAGGTACACCATCAGCCACAACAGTATCATCAGTCGCAGCATTATCAGCAGCAATATCAGCAACCAGTTCAGCATTATCAACAACCTCAATATCAACAACAGAATGGTTATTATCAACAACAGCAGCCGCCAGATTACAATCAATCTCAAGCCGAGTATCAACACCAACAATACCAGCATTCACAACAACAAACCCAATATCAACAACCACAACAAACCCAATATCAACAACCACAACAAACCCAATATCAACAACAACAGCAAACACAGTATCAACAGCATCAACCACATCAACAAGCACCTGAACCTCAACAACAAACAAATACAGGTGACGTTCCCGGAACACCAAGCAGCTCCAAAGAGGCAAGTGACCGCAAAACGCCAAGCGATTCCAAGGAGGCAGGTGACCCACAACGCAAAGTAACTCCAGAGGCAAGTGATCGCACAACGCCAAGCGATTCAAAAGAGGTAGGTGACTCCACAACACAAAATGAACCCAAAGAGGCAGGCGACCCCGCATTAACAAGCAACTCCAGAGAAAACTGAAACTCCTGAACAAGTACAAGAAACATTCTAGTTCAGGAGAACAAGCAATATTCTGAATGTTGGGTTATCAAAGAAAACAAAAGAAGATTTGCCTAAGGCTGTTATGCAGAATTGGTCAAGGCAGATGAACGATTAATGATGCATAGTGTTAATGGTGAACCGGAAGAAGAGACTGTCAAACAATGAGAAATAAGATGGGAAAGAATCGAAGCTCTTAAGCATCCATATGGATGGGTGCATTTGGACGCATCTTTCAAGCGCTATAGGCCCACATGCCATTTTAAATTCGATTTTAAAGCCTAATACAAACATGAAATAAGAGATCCATATTTTATATCAACGATTCAATTCTCTCAAGAAATTAAGTTTTTGATACTCGACGACCAGATTGGGATTGGTGGTATTAGGGAGAAATAACTCTTGATTTTTGAGAACACATTATGTAGGCCTATCTGGTAATGGGACTTATATAATTTGTACTCTTGGATATACTGCACTATTGTTTCCCAAGCAATACAAATATTTTTATTGAACTCCTAAAGGCATATATAAGAGCTCTATTGACTTCTGAAATATGTAGGGCCTAATTAATTTAGAAACTGTTAACGTAGAAAATTTTGCGATTTTCAAAAAAAGTTTCAAATAATTAAAATGTATTTGCCCGTATTTTAGTTTTTGTACAATTAAGGGGGTCGAAAAATACCCGAGCCATTAAATGTCATTACTGAGATAAATTCATGATCATGTATCTATATGAATTCAAAAATTTTGAGATTAGCAGTATTCTAGGCTCAAATATTTTTAAAAAATTAAGTCTTAAATCATCATACAGAGTGATCCAATAAAAATGCAACATGTCTCTTTTAATATACTCGCAATTCATATTTGTAATACCGTTTGCTCGATTGAACTCTTTTTAAAGAACATAAATCGTGAGGATTCTCTGATTATATTTTTTTCCGTGAAGGATGGTTGCATTTTGGTCACCCTGTTATCAGCTGTATTTATCCATGATGTTGATTTTGCAGAAAGTGTAAAAGTGTGTGCAATGAAGCACTCTATAATATACTGTTGTGACATCCTAATGTCCGGTGGTATATCATGAAGAGGAGATATGAACCAGATATGAACAAAATTGCTCCACTACTTTTCGAGTTATAGTAAAATACGTTAAAATGGCGGCCATTTTTTCAAAATGGCCGCCTTCTACCAAAAGTGTCATTGGACAATGTGTCATTCTTATAGTATTCACATATCAAATATGAACAAAATCGCTCCACTACTTTTCAAGTTACAGCAAAAATCGTAAAATAACGAGTAAAGACCGCCATTTTTCAAGATGGCTGCCATGTGCTTCTTTTATATCTACATTTCTAGCTTTATTAATGTCCTATATAATTTTTTTCATTTAAAACATATTGCTACTACAGTTTTACATATTGCACCTAAATTACTGTAAAATCAGAACTAAAATGGCCGCCACTTTGAAATGAGCGTGCATTTTGAAAATCGGCTTTCGAGCAGAACTTCTAGCCCCATAGGGTATATGTGTTCAAAATATGAACAAAATCGGGCCAACGGTATTTGAGTTATTGCCCGAACGGACGTACGTACAGACGATTTAGCTTTAAGATCTCAATGAAGTCTCATTTTTAAGTTGTTCCATTAAGTTACTGATAATACAAGATATATTATTAATTTTATTATATTATTTTTTGATGAAATGAAGAAACAACGAAAACAAATAGTATGGTAAAAATGGACGGAAGTCCAAATTTCAAAACATTGTATTTTTAAAAACTTTCTTCAACAATTTTACACACTGGAGACTTTAAGCTGGCGGTGTTTTTTTACAACGTAATCGTGAACGCAAATCAATACAGTAATGTGTATGGCGAACAAACAAAACAAGCGCTAATAAGTGTACTTCAGATTGGTGGATCAACTCCAGTTCACAGTTTGTGTTTAGAATGGGAGATTTGCACTTTCGCGTTTCAATGGGAATCATTATACTCATGTCTAATGATTACTATGCTGGCAATTTTGATTTCAATGAATAGTATAATGCTACCTGAAGAAAATGCTGATTATCATACATGTTTTAGCTCCAAATGTCTAAGGAACAGCTTGTTTAAAATATGTATCATAAAAAACACCAGCTATATAACTATCATTGGTATATTGCACAATGCATTGTGGTCTAAGTAACGGACTAAGTAAACACTGTAAGTCTGGAACCAAACGATTATTTATATGAGAAATCTACATGCATTTGTATCGAGTGATTTCATACATACAGGTTGCCGTTTTAATTTAAGATGGCATGGTAATCGATCTGTGTTCTCTTCTGTTGGTGCTGCCATCTTTATATCGGCCTAGAACCTATGGTTGAAGTATGTGGTAACAGTGGAATCAAACAGTATATTACTTTTTATGGGCAAATATCTATATTTGAAGCATTTGATTGGAGAGATACAATGTTTCCATTCTGTAACAGCTCTGTGATTTCATGCTCTGTAATAACTAGTGTTTCTACAACTGGCTTTGGGTCTTTTAACCTTATATCTACTCTACAGTCCCTGGAGGTTGGGATTTTGTCTTGTTCTATATCATGAAGTTTTATTAAATGTGTCCTCAGGGGTCTGGGATCAGAATACATTTTTCCGCATATATCACATGCATAAGGTTTGATTCCATCATGCGTTCGTTGATGAGACTTCAAATGGGATAATCGTCCAAATCTTTTACCACATTTTTCACACTCGTATAATTTCTTATGTGACTTTCTATGTCGTTGCAAATAAATTGGACTGACGAATTTCTGTCCACATTGGTCACAATCAAACTTTGGCATATCGCCATGAACGAAACGATGCTCCTTTAAACGCTGTCTATCTTTGAAAGACTTTCCGCATATGTCACATAAATGGAGCTTTTCACCAGTATGGATCCTTCTATGTCGTAACATTGAGTATTTGTTGTTGAATTTCATACCACAATTAGGGCAGCTGTGATTCTTCTCTCCAGTGTGAACGTCCATGTGTTTGCTGAACTGGCTAAAATATTTGCCTGAAATAATATTTTGAGGATAGTTAGATATTTGAAATAAACAATATCCATTCAATAACATAACATATCATAACAAGGCATTAACATGACAAAATGTCACCACTTAGTTGCTCACAATATTATGAGTTCAATCTGAAGTCAGATTTGAATTTCTGAGAACTTGTAGATGACTTTGAAAAAATAAATTAGTCAATTTGAAGCAAGTTGAAAAAGACCTTTTTGACCTTCAAAGGTCATTGAAGGTCAAATCTTAAATATAAAGTCAGATTTGAACTTCTGAAAACATGTAGATGATTTTGAAAAAATTGAAGTTCGTCTAAACAGTATTTGTTAAGTTATTGGGAGTTATTGGGAGAATTTGTTACAGACACCGATCACCGATCACCAACTGCCAACCACTGTCAAAAAAACGGAGACCACAACAATATGTCACCACTTTTTGGTTGTGACATAACAAAATGTCGCCACCTGGCAAAAATGGTTCTAAAAGTTTCAAACAGATGACAAACACTGATTGTCCGTCACGAAAATGAAAGGCATAAAAATATGTCACCAGTTCTTGGTGGCGACATAAAGTATATCGAGAACTTGCATATGTTGGGCAATTAGCCTGTTATGCATATACATCATATTTCAGATCTCAGGCCAATTAGTATACAAAACAGCAAAAACCCACTTTCTACAAAAAGCATTGTTAACAAGTTTAACAATGAGTTGCACTGTAACAAATACTTTAAAGTTAGGGTGTCTACTTGAACTCTACCAATTACGACAGAGGGTAAAATTACAAAAACACATGCAATGCAAACCATTAACAAATAGAAAGGGCTTTGAAAACCCTGTAGCCAGATAATCACTGCATTACATGACATTTTCTGCCATTAAGTTCATTTTCACATTAACTACACTTTCAAAGGATAGATTTGCCAGCTGATGTTGATCGAGTGTATTTGAAACTTACATGAAGTACTACAGTAGGGACACCTTAGGGGTTTATGGAGATTATGGCTGAGTTGCATGTGTTTGAAGAAATTTGTAGAGGTCCTGAATTGTTCACCACATATGTCGCACTTGTATTGTTTCTCACCTTTGGTTGTCATGGTAATGTATGGATTGTCACCTGCAAAGAATCAAGTATTGGTGATTAAAAGAATCAAGTTCTTCATCTTGGATAAAGATCTCACCCATTTTTAAATTTTTCAAAAAACAATTAGATTGAAATTATACGCCAATGTCGCAGTAACCCCATGTTGAAGTTCTACACATCACCCTTTTAGTGAGAAAACTGGATTTGACAGAAAAATTTAGAGTGGTCGCAAGAAAAAATCTCTTATGGAGAATTAAATTAGAAAATTAAATTGGAAATTTTTCTAGCAATACTTTCCCACATGAATCTACTTATATTGAGACGTGATCAACTTGAGCTCTTCCGAGAAATTGAGGATTTCAGCAATGTTGCATTAATTGACTTAACATGGGGATATACACTATTGACTAATGACTGGGATATCATCTTGTATGTCACCATGGGGATAGATGCACTTAACATGGGGATATACACTATTGACTAATGACTGGGATACCATCTTGTATGTCACCATGGGGATAGATACACAATCCTCATTTTCTCAGAAGAACTCAAGTTTATCGAGTCTCAACAAGTAGATTCATTTGGGAGAGTGAGAATATGAGTTCTTAAACAGGACATTAAGCCTGTTTGAAATTTTTGGTTAACTCTATATAGATCATTTAAGGCTTAATTGCTACTCTTTAATGGAATATGAGATGAAGAATGAAAATCAAATTGCATCCATTAATCGTTCAAAGAAAGTAAATCAATTATTAATTTCACTAATTGCTGTGTCTTATTGTTCAAAATCCAACATGACCTCATCCAATAAGTGAAGTACTATATCTAGTATCATAAATAGCTATGTACAGGATGAGCCAAAAAAGTAACCCAAACACATTTTGCCAAGTAAAAACTGATTTGTACAGCTGAATAATAACATGAACTGCAGGGATAGACAACTTCTAATAGATAGACATCCATCCAGAAAATAACAACATTTTGACGTTTTCATTGTTGGAAAATATCGAGTTTCCATCCTGGGAGCCAATACTTCTTGACCAGAGCCAGAAAGGTTTCAATGCAAGAAGGCAATATGAAATAAATATAAATGATATTTGCTATTAGTTTTCCCTGGAGTTTCAGACTAATACAATCATACAGGGTGAGCCAAAAAGGTAACCCAAACAATGTTCTTTTACTCTGACAAGTTTCATTGGTCTATTCCAAATGGTCAAGATTTGAGACCATTTGCTCAAAACATGCTCAAAATGCCGTTCTTGTTTTTATTGGCAAACTAGAACACATCGCATGTAGTCTTTGACTACACGCTCACACATTATCTCATTATCCTTCTAATCTCTTGTTTCAACTTTCTAATGCTTCTAGGATTGTTAGTAATTATCTTTGAAATAGCCCCAGAAATACAAATCTGGGGGTTCATATTGGGTGATTTTGATATGTTTTAGCATTTGGAGCATGTTTTGTAAAATGGCCATAAAATCCTGGCCATTTGGAATAGACCAATGAAACTTACATTGAACAAGGTTTAATTGTGCCAAATATGACTTAAAACCCACACCGGGTGACTGAGTTATTAAGATTTGTTTGGGTTACCTTTTTGGCTCACCCTGTATGATTGTATCAGTCTAAAATTCCAGGAAATCTAACAGCAAATATCTTTTATATTTTTTCATATTGACTTCTTGCATTGAAACCTTTCTGGCTTTGATTCAATAGCAAATAGTGATTAATCAAATATGAAAAGCTCTCATTGGTCAATTAATAATTAATAGTGGGTGTCTATCTATTAAAAGTTGTCTATCCCTGCAGTTCATGTTATTATTCAGCTGTATAAATCAGTTTTTACTTGGCGGTTGGTCGACTCAATAAGGATCATTATTTATATAATCTGGCCAAAATCAGAATTAAACTGTAAGTTGGACTCTATAAACAGACAGAAAATATGCAGACAGCAAACTATTGTAACAATCAGCATGAAGTACCATCAGCCTATAAAAATTTGAACAAAGTACATTTATGAAGTAGGTCTAAAATGAAGTATGTTGTCATTTTCATATTAAGTATTTTGTTACTTGCCAATGGATACTTTAGAATTCCAAATGAACTCTCAACCAAAACATTCAACCAAGATGGTGATTTACTGCTAGCGGCACCATTTAGTATATCAGGCCCAGGTTACGGTAGAGAAACACTTTGTAGTGATTCATTTTACTACATTGTATCAATGCAGTATGTCGAAGCAGTTGCTTTTGCAGTGAATGCGATTAATGAAAGGAGTGATATTTTGCCAAATGTAACTTTGGGATTCGATGCATTTGACATATGTTTACGGACATCTGCCAGTCTCGCAGGCATGCTTCATTTTATACCAATGCTTGAAGAATCAAAGAAATGTAAGGGCATTCCACAAGATGTTAAATCCCGCTTCAAAGAAACTATTGGACTGGTGACACAGATTGGAAGCCAAAGAAATCAACTGATAGCCAACTTTTTAAACATTTTCTCGATTCCACAGATTGCATCTGTGTCTACAAGCGATATACTCAGCAACAAAGATGACTATCCATACTTCAGCAGGGTGGTACCACCAGATAGGTTCCAGGCCCAAACCATGGTAGACTTAATGTTACACTTCAACTGGAGCTATTATTCTATGGTTTACTCTGAAGGCGCATACGGAGCCAATGGTATGTCTCAAGTGAAACGAATTGCAAAATCTAAGGGTTTGTGTAATGCTTATCTTGGTAGTGTCCCCTTTGATTTGGGCGACGAATCAATATATGTTGAAATAATACAAAACTTGAGGCGTAATAAAAAGGCAAAGGTAGTTGTTTTGTTCTTAGAGCCAATACACATTGAGAAACTTTTGGCTTCAATTGATAAATATAACGCTGCAAGGGAATTCATATGGATTGGGTCAGACACATTCGAAGAGCCAGATGTGGAAAATATTCCAAAGACCCTGCATGGAGCTTTTTCAGTGCAACTCACATCCAAATATGACAAAGCCTTCATAGAACATTATCGTACCCTGACTCCTTGGAATAATCCAAATAACCCATGGTTTTCAGAATATTGGACGCTGGCATTCAATTGCACATGGGAAACTAATAGCACTGACCCCAGACCACCATGTGACACTTTTAAATCTCTCACAGAGTCAAAGAAGCATAAGGATTCCCCTTGGATTTCTCTGCTTTTGGATACAGTGTATGCATTTGGATATGCATTGGATAATCTTATCCAAAATAATTGTCAAGACCATGTTGGTGAAAAAACGGCAATGTTAAGATGTGTCCAGAGTGTTGGCCTCACTTCATATATTCGGCAGGTGCAGTTTGAAGGTAGCTCTGGTCCAATATCATTTGATGAAAACGGCGATGCATTTGGAGGCTACACAATCAAACATTTCATACCAAGTGATTTAGGTTATGCTTCAATTCAAGTTGGGTCTTGGAATCGGTCAACTGAATCACTCAAGCTTAACGAAAGTGACATATACTGGAATACTAATGACACTATACCACTGTCCAAATGTAGCGAAGAATGCAGTCTGGGAGAAATCAGAATTCAACTTGAATTGCCCTGTTGCTGGGACTGTTTTAAATGTCATGCTAACGACATTGTCATCAATGGGTCAGTATGCATGAAATGTCCAATGTTGACATGGCCTGATGAAAGAACTGCTACAGATTGTGAACTCATAGAACCAGACGTTATCAATTTACTATCTGATTCTTTGTTCATTTCCCTCTTCATTTTGACAATGCTCGGACTGGTAACGATATTAATCATGCTTGGACTGTTTATTCACTGGAGAGGAGAGAAAATCATCAGAGCTTCATCGAGGGAATTTAATTACTTCCTCCTTATCGCAACTGTGATAGTCTATGGCATCAGTTATGTTTATCTCCTTAACCCAAGTGTGATCGTTTGCTATTGTGGACTATGGCTTCAGCATTGGCTTCACAATCCTTTATGCTCCGCTCCTTGTGAAAGTAGCCAGGATTTACTTCATATTTAAAGCAGGTTCTAAACTTCAACTGGAGCTACCAAAGTGGATAGAAGCCAAGAGGTCAATGGTGATAACAATGGCATTGATAGTTATACAGGTGAAATTTATTTATCTGTTATTTGGTGTTTTCCCCTAATACTAATACCCAAGAACAATATGTCCTTTTTTCAAATATTATATTCTCAATCAATTTCTATTTTTTTTTTTTAAATAAGTTGAATCAAAAGATACTTGATTTCATTAGTTTATGTGCAATTTTTTGTATTTAATTTTTGATTTTAGATTGGCATAACAATTGGTGTGTTAGTGACGGCTCCTCCAAATATGACAAAGAAAATGCCAGTTGAAAGCGAGAAGTATGTTGAACTCAGCTGTGATTTCCCAGTTTGGAGTATGATTATTTCAATTATATTCAATTTGTTACTGGTCTTAGCAACAGCCACATTAGCTTTTCTCACCAGGAAACTACCAGATAACTTTAATGAAACAATGCATATATTGTTATCTGTGTGTGCAACTGTATTTTTATGGTTGTCATTTATCCCTACATATTTCATAACTGATCGAGCAAAGCATCAACAAATGCTGTTCTCTGTTATGTTTTTATTAACAGGGGCAGTGTCAATTTTGTGTTTGTTTGCACCACGCATATACGCTGTTATATTTGTAGATGAAAGTAAGATAAAATTCTCATCAACTTTTGCTTTTAAACAGCAGATAAAAACATTTGAAAAAGACAATGGACAGACATCAACACTGTCATCAGTGGAAAGTGTAAACATGTCAAAGTTGTAAGCATTCTTGGCTGTAGAAGTCAATTTGATGATTAAAACCAAACATCACGCTTCAGACAATCTGTAGAATTGTGTGACACGCAAGACCAGACTGATACATTTGAAGAAAACAATTGATTCCTAAATAGGTGTTGTCAGAGATTGGTTGTATTAGTCATGTGACCAAATTATTATTCAACAAGCAAGGCAATGATTGGCTGTATTTTGGTCATTTGAGCTTGGATTCCTGAGGACGTATGTTTTGTCACAGAACCACATACCGTATACTATTTTGATGAATCACTATGGGTGAAGGAAACTACAAATGTAAATTATGAATGGGTCTATAACAAAGCAATTAACAAAAGCAGTTGCTTAGACATGTACAAATTATTGGTTCAAAAAGATTGAATTATAATAGAGAAAAATAGAGGCATATTCAACAGGAAATAAAGTGTTATTTGGAGAATGTTACAAAATGAACATATGTGGAGACAAATACTAGAAATAATATTATTAAAAGTTTACAATTTTACTCAATTTAAATTGTTAATATACCCAGAGGATTGATTATTATTACTAGTGATAACCTGTATATTCTCATAATATTGTTTTTATAGATATTGCTATTCTGCAATATACCAGTATATGTTCTAGAAATAATAATATTGATTTGTAAAGTAAACTGCAATTATAGTTTTTCAGAATTTGAGGGTTAAATGGATACAGAAGATGAGAAAATAAACCAAAACATATTTAGTCCAAGACACAAAATAACAAGTCATTCACACATATAACATTAATCAAAAACAGTGAAAACCTAATATTACCAACACTTAGATAAAAATTCAAAAGGCATTTTGTTTTGCTTTTAATGGAACAAGTTTGAAGAAAAACAGTGCAGTATGAGACTCACAATCCTTGATTTTCAAACACCTGGTAGGTCTAAAATTCAAATTAACAGTAAGTTGGCACCGTGTGATTCAAAATTAAATGTGTCATGTGAGCAGTTTCTGGTCAATCCTAAGAACTGCTATAGACCACATTACATTATTGTTGTTGCTGGGACAGGTATATGAACTTCTTGCAACCGATGTGCCAAGGGTGTTTCATAATTGTCAGATTTCTGTACTTTGATAGCTATTGGTGTTAAAAGATATACAGTACTTGTGTCACATATGTGAACGTTCAATTACTTATATTAGGCAACTGTCAATAGTAAGCACACGCTCAACATGGACAGATATACTCAAATCTTCAATTGTATGCCGGATATACAGGGTGACACAAAAAATGCCACCCACCTTACGTTGCATAACTTGTTTGTCTATAAACATTGACTTGTCCTTTGGCACATTTAAAGTAGATAATGCGAATGCACCTCAAGGCATTTGAGATGTGTAGCTCAAGTGGGTCAAATTTTATGAGCTTTACAATATGTGTTCCATGACATCCATTCCTTTGCAGGCTTTCATTAAAAATATCTTTAACTTTCAATTTCAAAAATTTAATGCAGGAAAGATCCCTTTCAGTCTTACTTGAGTGCAGGTGATTGTGGACATTCAGGAGTTCCTTAGTCTCATAAATCTTTTTGCAAAGACCACAGCCATACATTTCATGGTCCTGGGCCCTGTGATTGTACACTTCGTCTCGGTTATGGAAAACAGCAGGACATTGTGGGCACTTGTAGTTCAATTTTTCACCTGGAATTCAGTTTTATTTAAAGACAGGGGTTTCATTGGCAGCAGGCCACAGGCGATTTTCATTGGCTGTTTTCACAAAATTGCCTGTTGTTTTGAGGGACTTTTCATCTTTTCCATGTTAAATTTGTGATATCCATTAATTTTGCCTGTTGTCTTCATTTATTAAGCCTGTTGTGAGAATTCTAGTGAAACCCCTGTAGGAGCCCTTACTTGTGTGTCCTTTTGAAAATATACATGTAAATGCTTTTGCAAAATGGGCTTGGGGATAGTTGAAATGATAATTAATTCATATTTTATTTTGAAATAATCTTTTACTACTTTTTGATGATTTATAACTGAGATAAGATGATATGAAATAGCACAATAAGAATGACTTTTTTAGTCATTTGTGACTTGTCTAAAAATAGTCAGTTAAGCCTGAGACTAACATTAAAACATTTTATGTTAGTCTCAGGTTAAGCTAAGTTACTTTTTCTAGATCTCCTCCGTGCTTTCACAACTGGTTCCATGTCTGTACCAATTGCTTCATCGACAATTGTATCTTCGTCCTCACTGTCAAATTTATTATTATTGTCAGCACTTTTCCCATCATTAACAGTATTGTAGCATGGTTTAGATGGTCGTTTTTGAACTAAAACAAAGCATGAATAAAGTATAGTATAATAGTCAAAATCCTGTATTGCTAGGCGTTATTAATGGAGGTTATTTACTAGGAGGGATTGAATATGGGTTTTATTTCAAGGGACAATATATTTCTTGAGGGCCTGGATATAACCACCCAACTGAACGAACTAAGAAGTTTTGTTTGGCAGAAATTCATGGGAGGTGAATACCATTTTTATGAGCGGGATTGGGAGGTGAATAGAGCGGAATTTGAAGGAACAATACAATTTTTCAATATCACAAATATTCCTGGATGTTATTCATCACTTAATATCATGGAAAAATAGAGGTTTTCCTAAATGAGGTTCAGGATATTGGGATTATCCCGAGGCCAATATAATATATCTGCCCGAGGGCCGTAGGTCCCGAGGGAAAATATATTATATTGGCCAAGGGATAATCCCAATATCCTGAACCGACTATAGGATGATCTGTTTATCCCATACCAATTACATTGTTCAATTGTTGCAACCAATCGTGGAATTATTTTAAAATATTTCATGTCCAGTATTTTATTCTTGTCCGTAGCCGGTTTTCCTGTTCAAATATTTGATTATTAACGGGGCAGTAATCTGCCCGCTCGGAGCGGGACGTAAAGCTATATCTGCCCGTTGATGAAAATATAAGATTTTACAAACCGGCTTGATGTACCCGTAACACGTCCAAGTATGGGATAATAAGGCATACTTACTAGCTTACTGTTCATAATTAAGTCATTACTACATTTTATTAATTTATTGACATTTTGGAAAATATGTACACCATTTTATAATTGTGAACTTAAGAAAAAATAAAATAAAGAAAAAAGTGTGAAACAGTCACATTTTCTTTGTGAATATTCCACAAGTGAATATTTTTTATGGAAATTTAAAGCGCAGCTTACCTTTAGAATGTTTTGAAGCTGGTGACTTCAGTGTGACTTTGTTTGAAGACTCAGTATATTTCATAGGTTTTAACTTTTAACCGTTTTCTTTTACTTCTGATGAGGTGACCTTGACTTACAGGTGGCTTTCCTATATTCACTTCTTGCTTAGAACCAATCAAAGAATTTTCAAGATTCACATCCACATTCACTTGAAAAGTTTGTTCTATATTGCTTTGGTGGTACTCCATGGTGGTATCATTCATGTGCTCCTTTTCATTGTCAAAATTTTCATTTACAATATTATCAACATCCACTATTTTTGTGTTATCATGATTTCTATTATTTCCATCCCTATTAGTTTCCACTTCCAATATTTGATCACTATCATTAATTTCCACAACAGCTTCAGATTCAACTTCACCATTGCTATTTTCCTTTACATTTTTAATGGCTTCAACTTTATTCCCATCCAATTCAATACCTTCGGTGTTATTTTCATAATGTTCTAAGACATTTTCGATAACTTTATTTATACTTTTGTCAAATGCTTGATCAGATACTTGAACAGCCTTACTACACATAGTCACAACTTTCAGAGGCTTTGAGGAACCATCAAGTGTGTTTATCTGTTTATCTTCTGGAATACCAACCCTTCCAACTTTAGTGGCACTGATTTTTGAACCCCCTGTGGCATTAACATTTAAACCTTCATTGGTACTTGGTTTGAAAGGCTCACATAGTTTCAAATCCTCAGAATCACTGGCCTTAAAACCATCTGGGGAGTTGATGTTTGATTGCACAATAGTGTTAACCTTTGAACTCTCAGTATTATTACCCTCAGGACTGGTGTGACCTGAACATTGAAATTTCACATTATCTGATGTCAGGGTACTTGGGATTGTATTAGTATCACTGACAACTTTAACATTATCTGAATCTAACAGTAAACCATCAGAGTTATTAGGGTGATTTTCAGCAGGGATTGATAGATCCCTGTTATTACACGGTGACAGCGTTTCATTCATACTTTGCTCCGTTTCCACATTAGGTGTCCCTTGTTGAGCCATCGCTTCAAAATCAACAAGTCCTTGGCCTTGTTGAGATACATGCTCCTTTTGGGGATTTTCCAATACAACAGAGTTCTCTTCCTCAGTAACCAGCTTTGGCAATGTATCCTTTGTTAACATGGCACCTTCTACATTTCTCTGTTCCATTTTCATGTTATCACTTTGAAAGGGGTTATATAGGTTATCAGCTGGATAAGGGTCGGCAATTGGGACACTCACTTGATCTACTCCTGACATAGAATTCCAGAGATTTGCTGGGATTTTCAATAAACTCACCAAATCCCATACTTCCAACTCTGTCGCTAACTGCTCTAGCTGTTCCCGTTCCACTTCACTGATACTGATACTTTGCCCATACATAAAGTCCATAATGCAGTAAAACAAACTTTCTGAAAATGGTGTCAATAACACAGCAAGGTCAATTATCACCATATTAACACTGCCTATATATTCCATGCTTTGTTTTTCAGTACATAATTGCTGTATGTATTTACTATATTGTGTTACAATGGCTCGATGGGCATAAATTTCAACTTGGCTTTTATAGACGAAGACAAGATCGGAATATTGGGGCTGATGGCGAAGGTTCCTTAACTTAACGTGGGATACTGTGTTGTGGAGCGTCCTTGTCCCCTGTCCTGGTTCACCTAGCACAGCAAGATTAGCCATCTAAAATACATGAAAATATAGTTACAGAATAATCCAATCAGAATGATCAATCAGACTCTTTAAATGATTCTGATATCCTTAGGTACAGTGTATAGGGTTTCACTAGAATTTCTCACAACAGGCTAAATAAATGAAAACCATGGGAAAAATTAATGGAAATCATAAATTTAACATCGATATCTAATTTGGAAGCAAGATCTGCTGTTTATGACACTTTTTTATGACAGTTAACTCGTCTACAATCTGACTGATGAGTTAAATATATTTCAAATAGAAGTTAGGAGCCAAAATATGAATTGAAAAATTTATAGAATATCCTATGATTTTGAGGAATAACATTTTTATCTACAAGGTGATATTGATATCTGCACGAGAGAGCAAGTCGAACAAGTGCATATATCAATATCCCCGAGTAGATTAAAATGATATTATGAAAAATCATAGGATGTTCTTATTATCCTACACTTACAAGGAGTGTACTAAATTTATAATATTATTGCAAAATGAATTTCATGCCAAATAGAGTCAATTTGGTGGGAAATCAACAAGTGGAGTATATCTTCACAATATCCTCCGCACATTGGGTTTTCCGGAGTATATTGTCACAATATGCTCCGCATATTGGTTTTCCAGAGTATTTCATGGGGATATAATCCGGTTATTCATCTTGCCAATAGATATCAAATTTATTTTTTAATGTTATTATACATTTAGCACAATAAGTATAGGATAATCAGTCAATATCTTGAAATTTTAACTTAATTTGGGTTGTAGATGGGTAATAGAATGGTGCATTTCTAAGCATAAGGTACATGTATGGGAGATTGTTTTATGAGAAACATGTCATTTTTTTATTTATCCTCAAAAATATTTCTGTGGGTTTTGCTCAAAGGACAAGGTTAAAGCAAATTAAATTAAAGAAATTAATCCTGGCAAGCTACGGGTAAAAACTGCAGATAGATGGTTGTTCAGGGGCCTAGATATCAATATCCATATCTAATCAGGTCTAACGTTGTTGGACTAATCTGGGCTTGCTCAAGGAAGGACTGGTCTCTTTCATAGATGTCGGAAGCTCAATAAATATTCCACAAGATGAGACACCAATGAAAATTTCAAAAAATTTTAAAATGAAGATTGTGCAGCAATTTCAGAAAAATATGAAACAAATCGTACCTCATTCGAAGCTTCTTGTAATTCTCTAAGAGGCCAAAATAGTGATATTTTATTGGTTGGCTCTTGTCTGTCCGAATCTGAATCTGCTCCTGTGAATTCAGATTTCAGAAATGTGATGTCAGCGTAACAATGATTTTGGGACAGACAAAAACCCAAGAACAAGAGTAGGTGTCCCATCTTGTGGAATATTTATTGAACTACTGATCCTACTTAAAATAATCTTCCTGGTATCTATGGTCTCTTTGGATTTCTTTCATAGAGCGAGTCACTCACTGGCCTGGGAGCAGCCAGCCTGGTTGCAGAATGCACGCTTTGGTCATTACAGTGATAAGGGCCTAAATATCATAGGCCCCGGGAACATGTATAAAATAGCGAGTCCACATCTGTATTACTACTAAGAAGTAGCGAGTCGACATCTGTATTACTACTAAGAAGTAGTAATACAGATGTCGACTCGCTAGACTATTTTATACATGTTCCCGGGGCCTATATACAGATACAAGGCTCTAAACCTACTGTAATGCAGAAGTTGTTTAAATATAGACTTGTTTGCATCGAAGAACAACAATACAAATATGAATGACTGGAATTGAGAAATTGACCGGAGGTTCCAAAAAAATTGAATAAATATTTTTTCAAAACTTTTCTTTCCTGTGGGAGGCGTATTCCACTTACGTCAAATTATCTTTACATCCAAGTCATAAGCAGAGCTCTGTTTTTGCTTTCATTCCAAGTTACTTTTAAGGTTTTGTATGCAATAAGAACAGGATACGGGAAAATTTATGATATATTTTCAATTTTTGTGAAAAATCAGTCAACCGGAAGTAGTGTTGCAGTGATAAACCGAACGGAAATTGTTTAGAATAAACGTAAATTGTCACGGGGATGAACTGAAAACAGGGAGGTTTTGCCTCGTATCAAAATGGCCGCAGTAAAAAAGAAGTTGGTAAGATTTTTCACTTTTCACGTTTTTGTGCTTTTGTCCTTCAAATTAAAACTAAATAGGCTATTAGACTAAGTAAGTGATTTGTTTGGTGTGTATTCGTTTAGGAAGACATTTAACTTTCTAATAGGCCTAACGTTAAAAGATTTTCGAACGGTGTTCAATTTTTTTCGTAGTCAATCTACCCACGAAAATTGATCGGTTGGAAAATGTTGGGGTTTTCACATTACTTTTGATAATTTTTTCCCGGTTGCCCAAGAGTGTCGATTATTTTTATGAGAATATGTTTCTCTATTCTACATAATTTAGGACGGGTGGAGATTAATAAATATTCATACAAGTATTTATTGTAAAAATCAGAAATGCGCGTTGTCAACTCGAATGTACGTTGTCCATGTAATTGATAGACGTCCTTGGATATACGTAATATTGAACAATGTAATGATATCATTTCAAAATTCATTAAGGTCTTTATGAGTAACAAGTGTTCTTTAACGAACATGTTCGCAAGTATCCTTTTTGCTTTTTATTTTATGAAAGTATTGTTGTGGTGGTGGTTAATTTGTGCCCATTTGGTGTTAGCTTCCAGCCTAAACTCACATCCAGTGTCTCGGAATAGAATATGTTGAAGACTAGCACTGCCAAGGAGTATGCTTCCAGGCTGTTTGATTATTTGGCGTCTGTACCTTATGTTTTATACATTGATAGATAGATCTACTGATCTATACTAGCTTATTGAATATGACTTTTTAAAATCCTGTTTATGATTTATCTGGAAAGTTTCAATAGTTGAATCAAATTGAAGTAATTTTGTAATTGTTCTGTTTCAATTTTAAATGCATCTAACCCCCCTGTCTGTTAGTGTCATGAAAAATACTGCATTAGGGTTAACTGTGAATCGATTAAGTTCAATGGGACAACGTACATTCCTTTATTGTGCTGGTTAGAGAAACGCTCATAAAAATCTTCGACACTCTAAGACAACAGGGGAGGAAATCATCATAGGGAATGTGTAAAAACACAACATTTTCCAACCAACCAATTATATGGGTAGCAGTGGTGTAGCCAGGATTTGGTGACCGGGGGTTCTATTTTTATGTTATTCACAAATCCCCCCCCCTTCATTAGGGTTTCTCAAATAATTCAATTTGTACAATTACACTCCCTCCAAAAGTTTAGCAATCCTAACTACCCCATTGGATTATGTACTAAAGCATCTTTTTAAGTTAGAATTCTTATTTGCATAATTTGTAAAGAAAAAACTATTTTGGGAGGGGAAATATAATTCATTTCAATACCTTCATTAAAGGCAGAATCTGATCTATAGGGGGTGATAAAATTACAAGCAACATGTATAATTGACCTACCAATCTATTCCTTACAATATCAAATAGTACAATATCTCCCAAAAGATTCACAACATGTTATAAATTGGTGAAGTTATGAATGATTGTTGGTGCAAAAATGAGTGAAAAATGTTTAAATTCTCCCAAATAATAAGAATAGTAACCATTCTTATAGAAAAATAATACATTTTCGTAAAAAGTTTTCCTGGAACAAAGTATGCACTGTTGTGATCTTTAGAAAATAGACATGACAAGGAATGACATGAGAAAAGTCTGGACGTAAAAATGATTTTCAAAAATGACCTTGTAGCTTTGCAACTTTAATGTTCACAAAGTAAAATAAACAGGCAACGTGCAAAAAAGTCAGACAACTTATAATTAATTTTCTGCATCAAAATATACTTCGGGGAATCTTTTACTGAATACATATCCTGAAATCTGATTTGCCCCGAATCCACCATTATTTCGACTGATTTCTGGAAGACCCTGGAGCATGATTTGTTTCCAAGGAATATCAACTATTTCGCACAATTTATTCTTTAACTTAAGCTACTTCATCTAGGACAAAATAAATCACCTCATGCAATGGCTTATCATTATTTTTCAGGAAATTTGTTGGAAGCCAGTTCGGATCAAATGCAAGGTTATTGAAATTGACGCAAACACCCATATACTCCGAAAGATCGTTCTTCTATGATAACTTTTCACACCGTTTACACGAAGGCTTTATAAACTATCCGGGATAGTCGACGTGTTACTGATGAAAATATCTATTATTCAAATAAGTGGGTCTCGGTTTTGCTTTGTTTTAAAAAGTTAAAAATATTTCTTTGGACGTCATCGGAGCTCAGTGGTAAGTCCCCCAGAGCAGATCAACCGCAATTGATAATAAAAACGTTTTAGTGGATAAAATTATACATAAATACAAGCGACTGTTATTTTGTTAAGTTCAGACGGCTTGATAACAAAGGCCTTCATTATTTGAAGATTTATACCATATAATTTTTCAAAACATATCAGGACATTAACATGAAAATAGAGAGCAAGTAAACTGGAACGTTAACAATTTGAATTCTATACAATCTCTTAGATGAGTGGAGTGTATCTGAAAAAACAAAATCATTTTTTGCAATGATTGATTTTTCTTTGGAAAGTGATGGGTAAATAAATACTGAACAAATGAAAGAATGAATGAATTTGAACAAATCCTTGTGTTTATAAATGATATACGCTTTTAAATAATTCATTTCACAACGTTTTTAATTATTAATTGGTCTCGGGGACTTGCCAGCCCCAGGGACGCCCCAAGAAATATTTTAAATTTTAATCGAAATAAAACAAAACAGAGATGTACACATTTGAAAGAACATGTGTTTCATCAACACTATTAAGACTACTAGTATTCCAGATATTCATTCGCCAATGTTGTAAAAATCATTCGGAGTATGGGACGTCTGCATTGTTTTCAATAACTTTCAATAACTTCGTATTGGGCCAGAACTGGCACCTTTCAGGACGATAGGCTCCTTTTGGCACCATAATTTTTATTTATATACATCGATGAAATGATAATATCTCCAGTTCTATTCAGTATTTTTACACCAAATTTTGACAAGTTGTTCTAATACGATAGTCCTTACTAAAAAATGTATTTCAGTGATAAAATTCAAGGTATAGGTCCCTGGGCAAAGGTAATTTTCAGTTTTCCCCTAAAAACTGCTCTTACTTATCCGTCACCAGGGCCAACATTTTCCTCTTATATTCACGTCGGGAAAGGGTTAAAACAAAATTCCTACAAAGGACTGATTTAGCCATTGCCCAAGATGGGTTATTTTGTCCGAGATGAAGCATGCCAAACGTTTTGAGGGAAGTGTAACTTCACTATGACATGTTTTAAGAAAATATGATCTCGTGTTCACCATCACAAATATCAATTCATTTACTGCTCATATATGTAGTTTTGAAATAGCACAGTAATTTAATGATTCTGGTTGTTTTATGCATTTTTCCGCAAAATGATATTTTGGGAAATCCTGACCGGGGGTTCGTTCGAACCCACCGAACCCCCGCTGGCTACGGCTATGGGTAGATTGACTACGAAAAAGATCGAGAAAGTTAAATTTCTTCCAAAACGAATACACAAAAAATCAAACATGAAATCCTTATATATGCATTCCTCAGATTATTTTTTAAAACCTACATCATTATCTTTGCTTTAAATCGGTTAAATAGTGACATCGTACATCTAAAGTGTACTACGGTATATTTTGTCACTGTACCTTGTCGATGGTTAGGTGTGAGTATGTACGTATAGTGTTAGTAAAACTGCTCCGCTGAAACTGTTTCCGTGCTAAGGCAACCACCTTTGTACAATTTTCAATATATACATTTATCAACAATTTTTTCAGGGTTCGTTTATTTTGATCATTACATTATACATGTAATTATACATTATTAATCATTATTCATCATTATTCAAGATAAAAATAGTCTGCTTGGACATGTATAACTAGAAAATTAAGAATACGTTGTCTATGGGACAGAATTACCCGGAGAATATAGTCTCCTTTAAATGCATTAATAATATAGATCATCTACAGTCAGGGATCAGGTACATTGGGACTTTATGCCAGACCTTGATTTGGTGCAGACTTATGCCGCAACTCCTATTCACCGAATTCACCCTATTTGCCTTTTTCATGAAACTTTACGTAGTTTTCAATCCAGATTTTTCTAAAAGATGTCAGGTATGACTTCAGTTTGAATATTCCATCCTCATTTTGAAATTATCTGAGTGTCATCCCATTGCCAGGCTGCCCAAAGTGTTCAAACAGAATTTAAGTACTTGAATTGCTGTTTTTGTTATAAATTAGATTGGATTTTTGCTTTATAGTGCACCAATATTTTTCTATGGATATTCTTAAGAGTCTGTGTCAACAAAACTCCATTTTATAATTAACGAGTAATGAGAAAAATGAAAGCGATCAAAAGTGATCACAACTAATTTTGGTATCATCTCTTGGCAAGCCTATGCCAGGGATCAACAATAAGATACCTTGGCATCGTGTTATACCAGAAAGGCTTATTCATTAACAGTAATATTGTTCAGGTCAACAGCTGAGCATGTTTAAATAAGAATTATAACAGGTTGTTCTTATGCCTTCATGGTTTGCATGGTAGTTAGACATTTGATGCCAATGCTCATCAGGACCAACACCAATCAATTTGTTGATAGATTTGACCAAAATAATTAGGCTTCAATTTCACAAAAAAGTGCAAAATGAAGGCCTGCCAGAGCAGAAAGTGAAAATAACAACATCAGGACTATCCTCATTGAAAAAAATCTAAGAGAACAATTAATATGCTTACTCCACCCCAGAGAAAAGACAGGCGGCTAGTCTCCATCATCATAACAGAGTTACCCATTTTTTCAAAAAACCCCAAGACATCTAAAATTCAAAATAACTTTTTACCAATTAACATTTAAAAGAAACTGTAAAGTTGTAAACTATAGAACATGTACATG